ATATAATACATATAGTTCTTTATACAATGACTTACCAGCTTGTTGATCTGAGCAAAAATAGAATTTTGGCAAGCCATAACCCACCAAAATTTTGAGAAAATTTCAAATAAAAAAAAAAACGCTGTAATTTTGTCAATTTTTGAAATTTTTTCGACAATAGGATACATACAATATTTTCTAAAGAGAGAGTAGAAGATTCTACAGTAAAATTTTCAAATATATACGTGCGATAGTCTTCTCTTCGTACATAATATTTGTAAGAAAAACGCGTTTAAAATTTTCATTTACCGCGGGTCGGACATATAATTTTTTTCCATTACTCTCACAATTAAGTGGCCTAACATCTTCAACCTGATAATTGTAGAATCACATCTACACCACTGCTCCATCAATACAACAAAAATACAAAATTTCGCTACAAATCATAAGCGGCAGCGAGTCGCTTCAGCGTCGACAATTCGTCAGCTATCCGTCAGGTAGCGCAAATTGGAGGCATGATCAGACTTTATGTTCGAACTCGGAATTAACAAAACGGAACTTGCAAATGCTGCAACGCCACTTAAAGTTTGTAACACCGTTTAAGCTCAATGTTGGCTACTCGCTGGCCCTAGCTAATAGCTTGGGCGCACTGACGACCGCATTAGCCATTGAATGCCTGACTGGCTATTTGAATGGCTGAACTGTTGTTTAGTTGTTGCTGTACAGTTGTTGCTGACTTACTGGCGACGGGCATAGAACTAAAGTTGGAGGAAATATGTACTTTTTGTTACTTACGTTTTTTCTATAGCATTTTTAAAGTTTCTTGATTTTTTCTGCTGTTTTCGCATTTTGTTTAGCAAGTTTATGCTCGTTGCATTTTATGCGAAACGACAAAAATCTCTTTGAAGTTGCCGAATTCCGACAGCCGAGCGTATTGAGTGGTGATGGGCGTGGTAAATTTGGTTTGCAATTTCGCTAAAACAACAACATATGAATAGGTACTTGCTTTGTTGTATATATTTTTCATAAGTTGATTCACACATTGTGTATGTATTCATATATTGTATTATATATGTATGTATATATATATATATATGTAAATTAAATTAAATTCTGCGGTATATTAACATATACATATTTGGAAATATATAAATCAAAAGTTTACAGATATGTCCCACTATAAGGACAAAGTAAACATTTTGTATTATATAATTTAATTATTTATATTTAATTTAATTAATAATATTTAAATATTTAAAATAGTTGAGACAAACTTGAACTCATCCTAGACACGACATTATGTTTAATTTGTACAAAAAAATTAATAAAATTAAATTACAACGGATAAATACGCAACGGATATGCCCAGAACTTTTCTAGAAATCAACAAACCTGTTTTAGATTAATTTTGTAATATATTCCTTAAAATTTTTCCGAATATATATATTTTTATATTATATCATCGAAATCTAATGCCAGTTTTTTCAACAAAAAGTAGTAGAAAAAATTAAACTTAAAATATATTCTAAAAGGGCACATTTTTGGTGTGACTTCACTAAAAAATATGTGATTTTTGGACATGCGTTTTAAAGAAAATTGCTGCATTAAATGTTTTCAAATTTTAAGACTATAATTATACGTAATTAATAAATATACACAAAACAGTTCAAAAGTTTAATTTATTCAGTATTTTCCAACAAAAAGAGAGTGCTCCATTTCTGCAGGATTGTTTTTGTCTTCACTGTGTTTGGAAATAAATGAAATGATTTGTCTGTAAGGTATTGCCTACACAATAACCTACGAGTGTTAAAAATTTTTAATTTAACAAAAAAGCATACTTGAAAAAAAAAGAATGGCCGAATTTGGCCCAAAGATGAGATGATCTTTTAGAAGGCAATAGAAAAATTATTATTATTATTTTTTTAACTTCCCGCTAAGAAAATGGAAAATTTTCTAAAAATCGGGAAGATATTGGTTTCACCCCATTTTGCAAAAATCGAGTTCTCAACAGATCTCGACGTTCTGAGGGTCGAGGAAGCTTCCCCGAACATTTCTACGATGATGTCCGTATGTCTGTATGTATGTGTGGATGTATGTGTGTGTGTGTGGATGTATGTGACCCTCTTATAACTATTAAACTGCTCAACCGATTTGAATTTAACTAAACGGCATTCCAAAGGGTTTCATTGCACTTGAATTTCGTGTAAGTTTGGACCCAATCGGACCAGCAGATTTCGAGAAATCTCAAAAATAAAAATTTTGAAAAATCGTTTTTTTCGAATTTTTTCCAAACGACGATCGACACCAAAAACTAATCAGTTCTAAACCTTGAAGAAACACATCGTTTGCCGCAAACCGGGTCGAAATCGGTTGATTTACTTGCTAGATATCGAAAACGAAAAATTTCGAAGAGCTCAAAAGCAGTGAAAAAAGCGAAATTTGAACGTTAGCGTATGAAATTAGAGGGAAGTTGCAGGGATGACCCTTGAGGCCAACCGTTTTCCACATTTTTTAATTAAAAACGTTTTCGCTAATTTTTTAAATGGCTAACAGTTAAACAAATATATTAGTTAGATCTAACTAAATATTATTACAGCTTTTTGGCTGTTTAACTACCAAACAGAAATTCGGTAAATTTTATATGATGCAAGAATGAATTCTTTAAAAAATAGAAAAGTAGAATAGCAATAGAGAATCATAGTCACCCGTCAAAATCCAAAACAATTAGATAAAGTTCGAGAACAAATGTTTATTTAAAATATTTTTAAAAACATTTTGCGATATACTTGTACGACGTCAAAATTTTCGATTGAAAACTACGATATTTTTCCATTAATAAGTCAAAATAAGATAAAAAAATTAATACATTAAATTATAATAAAATACAGTCTGTTTAGAACATAGAAAATATATTTGTAAAATCTATAAAACAGAAAAACTTTGTTATTCAAATTTTTCTCATAAGTTTTGAGGTTATGTGAAAAAGTTATTAGTTTTTGTAGATCTTTCTATTACTTATAGTTACCACAGGGCTTGTAATTTTCTCAAAATCAAGATAAACCGTTTTTTTTCATGCTTAAAAACTCAAACACAAAGAACCCATCTCCCCTCCCTGCCCTTTCACAACCGCAGCACGGGCGATAATTTTTCTTTTAATTTTCATTAAAGGTTTTCTTTCCCGCTTTCGATGAGTTTCATCCTACTATTATTTTATTTTATTTATACTTCATATTTATGGATATGTTAATGTTTTATTTAAATGCTTTGGGTTCTAATCATAAATAATTTTTAATACAATTATTCTTTAATTACGTACAAAATATATCAACAGAAAAATACAAGATTTTTACGAATTTATCTAAGTAACTACACATAGTTACAGTTTGCCGTCGCTAATGAAATTTTTACATAAGAGGGAATTTCTAGCGGTGAGCTTTTATTGTAGAGAATTGAAAGTTTTTGACTTAAAAGGTAAAATCAGATAATTTGTGGCATATGTATAATTCTGAAATTAAATTTGTATGCTAACAACAAATTTAATTTACAAATACTTAGCTCATACATGAATCCATTTGTCTACATATACATATGTACATATATGTATATATATAAATAAGCGAAGCGAAGTATTTAAGATATAAATCTGTGTATAATAATAGAGCACGGCTGAATGAGACCTACCAAAAAGTGCAGTTAGTTGAACTACATTTTAAAATTAATGTTGTCATTTGCACAAGTTTTGTAATGTAAAATTAAGCGAATATTTTTTGTTCAACTATATGTACATACATATGTATATATTTATACGTTTACAATTCTGTACATGCGCCCTTCAACTGCAATTTAAACCGTGACAGCTGTACTCGGGCAGCGCACTAGGCGCATTTAATAAATCCTCATCTCATCGTTAATAACAAGCGCACAATTTTCCAGCCGCTATAAACGGTCTCATTAGAGGGCCCAATTACTTACAAACAACCAACGTACATATTTTTACTAATATCTACGGCATACTCACTATACTCACTCGCTCGCTTACTCTGCAGAGCTTTGCCTTTAACACACTTCTTTACAAACACCTACAGTTGGTGAAAACAGAGGAGCGCAGCTGTCAAGCCGCCACTTAGCTTGCGCCACTGACGAACGCCATAACTACCGTTAAAGCACATCTGCCACCATTGCGATTTTTCCATGGTCCACACCTATTGGCCGCAGCGCACCGCACACGCCTCTTACTCTTTGCTCACATTTGCACAGGCGTACTCTTCTCACCAGTCTCTGCAGCGTGGTGTGTGAGCGTGATAGCCAGTTCATACTTGGCTTCTACGGGCACATAGTGTGTGCCGCTCTAGCGCATAGGCTTTTGAAACACAATCGGCTCTCTTTATAATTTTTTATTGGAGGCTTTGACTCTCTCATAAGGCACACGCAAAGTAGCTTCTCGTTTATATTTCGTTTTTTTCTTCAACAACTCGTACCACTTTGTTTTTGTTTGTGCGCTCGCTCTTGTAGCACGAAACTTGTTTGGCGGCTGTGTAACTGACGACCGACTTGACTTGACTTTGTTAATGTCCGTAGGCTGACGCTGCCGCCGCTGCTGCTGCTGCCGCCACAACCATTGACGCTGGGCCCATTGTCGTTAGCGGGATCTCGACTACTCACTCATTTGCTTAGTTAAGATTTGATTGTCGAGTTTAACTGTCGACAAACAAGACACGACAACACGAATGGCCCGATATACACACAATTTACTCTAGAACAACAACAACAACAAAACGTTTGCATGCTATACTACATGTGGCTGTGGTAGCGGAGAGAGCGCGGTTTGAGCATCAGCAAGCATAAGAAACCAATTGAAATGCAGGCAATGCACGCACACACACACATATACCTACAAACATTAGCTCACACCACCACCACCACTACCAACACATGGCAGCTAACAGCTCTTCATGCATTCAGGCAACAATACTAAAGATGGGAAAAAATCAACAACAATAACAAGCAGACGTTAGCTGCACGAAAGCAGGGAGAGTCTCGGCAAAAAACTCGAAAATCAACTTGTCTAGTTAGCAAACTTCAATCTAGTTTCGAACAGTTGACTGCGAAGCGTCGAGTGAATAGGTTGGTTCGTTTGATTCGTTTGGTTATAGTGCGCTGTATCGGCCGTCCCAGTGTCAGTCAGTCGTGTATTAAAATTAAGTATTAACAAGAAGACTTCAAGAACATACAAAAAAAAAATTATATACATATATGTATATATAACGGGAATATAACAACAACAAACAAATCACGAAGAAAATATATTGCATAGACAAATTTAATGGTGTACAAACATAGTGCTTGAGTGTGGTGAAATAGTGTCGTGTCGTGTTGTGCGCAAGTGGCAACAATAAATAAATGAAGCGGCTAATCAGAGAGTATCTCAAGGAGAAGCGTTTTCCAGAAGTTTTGGCGCAGCGTCGTTTGATTCGTGCGACTAACTGATTTGTGATTTGATTGATTTCAATTTTGTGTCGACTGTCGGCTGTCCGTTGGCAGTGCTCAACTAACTACAAGCGTGTTTAGATGTCGGCAAATTAGTAGCTGCTTATACATGAATTGGTTGCAAAATTGAAATAAATAAAAAATATTATTAGAAAAAAAAATTTTATTTAAAAACAAAATTAGAAAAAAAATTTAACGATAAATAAACATAAATAAGTAAGCAAAACGAAGTTGGTACAAGAAGATACAATTAAAATACTACAACAACCACAGTGTTAGAGATTTTTTAAAACACTTTAATCGAAAAATTTTGCGTGTGTGAAAATTCACAAAAAACACTACAAAACAATTTAAAGTTTTACAAAACAACACACACTTTATTGAGGCCGCCGCTACAAATAAATAAACGGCGCTAATACGCTTTTGAGAATCTCGTACGCTTAACAGAACATGCTTTGCCCGCTCACCATGCGTCCCGCTAGCCCTGCTGAATCAGAAATCTCCGTCGGTGGCGCACCCAGCCCACTGCCACACCACCACCACACACAACACCAACTACAACAACAGCAACACCAGCAATCAACGCTGGCGCATCCGTCGCAACATCGCAGCACAATCGATTTACTACAACATCAGCAAATTTTAATGCAACAACATGCGGCCGCCGCTGCCGCAGCCGCTGCAGCTGGACTGACGCGTGCTGGTGCCACCGCCGCCGAAGAGTATTTCCAACCACTGAAACGCTTACGCATGTCCAGCGAAATGGAGGAAACCGCGCTCAGCAATCGTACACCGAGTCCGGTGCAAACGCACAGCGTTACATTGCCAACAACACCCACTTCGACTGCAACAACTGCCAGCTCAACTGTCGCTAATGTCAGCGCCGTAAATGCCGGCAGCACTGCCGTGAAGTCGAACATTGAGGGTGTGAAGAGTTTTTCCATTGCCGATATTTTGGGACATGAAAAGCGCGCCACATCCACCTCACCAACACCGCCATCTCAACAGCAACAACATGCTGCTGGCACGCCTACACGTCCGTTGCTGAACGCCAGCAGTCTGCTGCAACCACGTGCCGAGCCGCTGGATATGGTGAGTGCAGCTGCGGCGGCGGCCGCCGGCATGCCACATCCAATGCTACTACCGGGGGCACAAATCGTGCGTCCCTGGGATCATTTGTTGGGTCCGATGCCGGTGCGCCCGTTCATACCCTCGGCGTTGTTGCATTATGAACAGCGTTTGGCGTTGGACTATCATCGACAGCTGCAGGAGCATTTCAATGCTCAGGCGCAACTGTTGCGTCACATGGGCATGGATATGATACCGTCTGAAAGTGGTTCGGAGCGTTCGAGTTCGGCGGCAAGCGATTGTTGTTCGCCGGAAATCGCACGCTCATCCGGTGAGCCATTGGCGTCAGCGGGCGCACAATCTATGGTAATGGGTGAACGTGAGCGGGATCGCGATCGTGAACGCATATCGCACACCTCAACTTCGTCGAATGGTGGTGGAAATAGTTTGGGTGGCGCTGGTAATGGTGGTTCCAGTGGCGACAATGCGGCGACCAATGGTTCGGGCTCGAAATCCAAACCGAACGGTACACCATTGGATGCACTCTTCCAAATGACCACCAAGGACTTTGATGAATCGCAAGGTGAGTTTTGCAAATTTATGAAGTAACTGGCGGTATTACAAACAACTTTCGATCAAAATATTAACTGAAATTTTCGAAAACGCTGAGTAGTGGTAAACACAGCAAACATTTTGCTGAGTTGGACTTATAGGATTATTGCTGAATCTTAAACAAGAGAGTCCTAGAGTTGTTGTTGGTCTAACCTTCCTTAATGAAGAGGCAGGCATATCAAACCGTCGACATCTTCTAATGGTAGGCGCAGAAAAAGAGCTGTTTCGACGAAAGCGCACTATAGAATAAAGAGGTTCCGTTGAGCTGATTGAAGTAGGCATGCAAAAAGAATTGCGCGGTTATCTTTGCATGACCAATGGGAATGTCGGGATCAATTGTTGATAAGTTTAAACTACTGCAATTTACAGCAGTCAATTTCTCGATTTCTATTAAGTCTTACCGTTTTCCCGATCAATTGGTTAGTATATCCTATAAGTAGTTTTCAAGAATCAGAGTCGTATAATTAAACTATGTGATTTCTAAATTTTTGAAAATTAATAACTAAGCGTTCAGTCTGGATGGGCACAATTTTCAAAAATTTAGAAATCACATCGACAATTAGTTTACTTTAAAGGGGTATATCCACTTAAAATTCCGAAAAAACGAAAATTTCAGGTTCGCTTAACCCGTACCCGAACGACAAGAAGAGCTCCGAAAAAGGGTTTCTGCAGGTGAGGCAGATATTTTTGTTAAAAATATCTCAAAATCAAAAAAAAAATTAGTAAAAATAAATTTAAAAAAATGTATACAGGTAATGATCGCAGCACTCGTTGAAGTTTTGATATTTGTCAATATGGGGGCTTTCCCAAAAAAGTGTTTTGTGAAAAAATTTACACTTCAGAGTTGCTTAAAAAATCGAAATTATTATCAAAAATCCTACTCCTCCGATCTAATAAATACATATAAGGAGGTCGTGAGAAAATTTCAAAGTGGTTCGTTTAGGCGTTGCGGAGAAATTTGCCTCATCGACTCTGAAAACAACGTTTCACTAAACGTGTTGGGAACCGATTGCACTAAATTAGAAGACATTTTCAAATATGTTCGCTGAAAATATTTGTCAGATAAAATAGTTAAAATGTTCAAGGAATATTCACAAATATATGTCCTTCGATATATTTGTAAAAAAATAGAGTGTTTTGAAAGTGGCTATAACCCTTTTGAATATATGGTACATGCCTTTAAACATAAATTTCATATGTTACGAGAAAGTGTGAATCTCCTGGTGATGAAATTATTATTTTTCCCTCTGCTAGGAGTTCTTATTTTAACTCGTTTAATAATTTCATAATTATTTTCTTCAAAAAGACATCCTGCTAAATAAATTAGATAAGATAGATTAGAGAATTAACTTTCAATTCATAAACACTTAGCGGAAGAATATAAAAATATTCAATTAAAAATAACAATTATCGAGCTAATTAACTGCTCACTTGCACACAGTATCCAATATAAAAATATGATAGGCAAAACGCTTGGTTTATGCAACTTTACGACCCAAACATGTATGTAAATATGTATCATATACTCGTATTAGATATAGATATTTGCATGGGTAAGCAGCACTGAATTAAGCTAAACTAATGAATTATTGTGACCAGCTTCAAATCAATAAACAGCCATTATTAACTTATCTTGTAAAAGTATATACATATGTGTATTTGTATGTGTTTGAATTTCAATTAAATGTATACGAATTAAATTAAACGAATCAAATTTATTACCTTATTCATTAATTTCCATTTTGTGCTATTCGATTTAATCACAAATGGTAATGGTTAATGGTAATTCTAAGAGCGGACATAAAAGCATGCAAACTTACATAAAAGTAGTTGCTAGAATATATATACCATATGTATAGTATGTGCCTGATTTACTTGTAGTTAAGACAATTAATTATGGATATGTGTGTATACATTTATTTCTGTATTATACATGCGTATCTATCAGCATATATTTAAGCTTATTATTATGGAAATATATTTTTAAGTATTTATATTATATCAAGGATAATGAAAATTTTTATGTTTTGAAAATTGAACTTACCAGGTTTAAAAGCCGTTTTAAGTCGAAATGAGTTTTTCGGGCTGAAGCATTGCAGAATTTTTGAACTACCAATAACAAGTAATTTAAGCTTCTCCACCTTACAAGCCGCCAGTATAGTTGTATTGATGACATTCGGTTTACTGATATTTCAAAATTTGAGTTCGGGACTTCACTCAATCATTTTTGCCTTTTTTTTGGAAGAAAAGAAGCGAAATAAAACTAATTATAGGAAGATTGAAAATGCAATAAAATTTAAATTCGGGGCGTAAAGAATAAGTAATTGTATGGAAAATTTGTTTTGTAAAAAAATTCGTTTTAAAAAACATTGTAGTACCGAAATTCTTCGTATCGAAATTTAACTGTATATAACTATGTTATAGCAATTCTTAAATACATTATTAACATTTCATTATATATATGTACATGTACATTTTTTATATTAAAATTTAATTTAACTTTAATACTAATTTTATTTCAATTAATTACATTTTAATTTTAATTATAATAATCAATCAATTTTAGTTTTACTTTTAGCTGTAATTTTAATTTTAAATTTAATTCAATTTTTTTTTAAATTAAATTTAATTTTAAATTTAATTTTAATTTTAAATTTAATTTTAATTTTAAATTTAATTTTAATTTTAATTTTAATTTTAAATTTAATTTTAATTATCATAATAATTATAATTTTAATTTCAATATGAAATTTACATCAAGTCCTTTTTTTAATACTTTCAGTTTTAATTATTTTATTTTATTTTACTTTATTTTATATTATTTTATATTATTTTAATTTATTTTATTTTACTTTAATTTATTTTAATTTATATTATTTTTTTAACCTTGTTTTAAATAATTTTTGTTTTATTTAATTTTGTTCTGCCCACTTTTTTTTACTTAACTAAATTTTTTATACGGACCAAAATATTCCAAATTAAATTTATTTTAAAAGAAACCAACCAAGTTCAGTTAGTTTGCTTTAATTTCATTATTGAAAAATATTATTCGTCAATTCTTAATGAGAATTGCTTAACGCTTATTCATGCTCACGAAAATATAAAATTTTAAATTTTTGCTCAAATTTCAATTACCGTAAAACATTTGTTTTTCAAATTGCAAATGCTGCTCGTCATTCAAATTTTGCAATACCAATAGGAAACATTTAAATAACGAAATTATTTCAACGCGCATTATCATTGGCGCACAGCTTCTGTTTTTACTGTTATTGTTCTATTGTCATGCCTGGCGTCGGCTTAATTAGCGGTAATGGCTTTCTGAGTGCGCCTATTGTTGTCGCTGATTCGAGCATATGCAAATATACATTGACATGTATGTATGTTTGTGCTTAATTATGACATCTTGCAACTCGTAAAATGTCATTGAAGCGCTCGGTGTTCAGTCGAAAATTAAGTGTTTTTCCCTTTTTTATTCAGTTTTCAATATTTATTCAGGAGTCAGTGAAATTTGTTTGTTTCGTAATAAATTCTACACTCAAGCCTACTTACACACAATTGGCGCTAATTAAGTGCTTAATGTGCTCCCCTAATTTCATCGTTTGGCGACGGAGAGTGCAAGTGAAGTGTAGAAGGCTGCTCAGCGGCACTTCAATGCTGATGATCAGGACAAATTAGTAACATAGTGACTTAAATGCAGGCTAAGGCGAAATAATGCACTCGAGGTTTGAGTGCGCGACATCGAATAGTGAAAGGATGAGTTTTTAAATATTGTACACTTATATATATGTGTATTTTGAAGTGATTTTCTTACCAAAGAGGAATATTTAATTATTACATTAATGTTATACAAACTTAAAATTAAGTACAATTTACGATAGTTTTAGTTAATTTTTAACAGAAAATCTTACTAAAACAAGATGATAGTCAAAATCTAATTTTGTTTACAAAAAATATGTTTATATTCCACGAGTTATACAATATCTACATATTTATGAACTATATGAAAAATTTATATAACAGATATTAAACTTTTGTTTTGCCCAAAAGCGTCTCTATTTAATATATAGAAATCTTAAAATTAAAATTTTTAAAAAAACTAAATCCCCAAAACCAAAAACAAGTTCAAAAAGAGTTTATTGAAATAACTTTTGCAAAGATTTGGTTAAGAAATCAATCTTAGAAAAACAAATTTCAGACCAAATTAAAAAATTTAATCTCTGAAATTTTTTTAAATTGAAACTTTTTTAAATGTTTTCGTGAAAAAATTAAAAACTTTAGCATTTTTATTCATTCATATTAAAATTTTGCAAAGAAGTACTGCTTCTCATTGTTTGATTATCGAAAAATTGAAATAATTTTCTTTAATATTTTCTAGAAAAAGATTTGAAAATTATACCTTTTTGTATTTATTTATTAAAATATTATAAAATTAGAAGTTCTTTTTTAGTAATTCAAATATAAAATTTCTTTAATTTTGTTCAAAATGTCACCAAAAAAATCTTCAAACATATTCATTCATTCAACGCATAATCAGCTCAGAGACCATGTGTTCTACCAGAAACTCTGGCATTATATAAACATATATATACATGGTATATATGTATAATCAATTCAGCAAAACAAAAAAAAAACAATATCTGATATTAATTTTTCGAATATTCTATGCATAGAATAGCTTAAGCCAAATAAAATTTAAAAAACTTTTTCCAAATTTTGAAATTTGTTTCAAATTTAAGTCTTTAACCAAAAGTTTTTACCATATTTAAAAAAAAAAAAGATAAAACAATATTGAAAGGTTTGCATAAGCAATATATTATACCTATATATCAGTAGACCTCTCATGAATCTTGCAGATGGTATTTAATATTAAGATCAGAATTATTTTGAGGTTATACCTGCCATAATGCATGCTTTGGTTGTTTATTTTAAAATAAAATGCAATAGGATTTTATTTCGTTAAAATTTCAGCAA